CACACACAGACACACACACACACACACACACACACACACAGACACACACACACACACACACACACACACACACACACACCGGCGACGGAAATCATCACTGGGATATACACCTAAGGCCCAGTCCGTGACATTTTCTGCTGGAAACGTAGGTCTAGGTTTCATCAGTGTCTAATCGATTGTTCCCCATCTAAACATTATCACGTGCCTACAGACTACACCAGACGAAGCCAGCGACCGTGCGGCGAATCCACAAAAAGTTTTGTTCTATAATTCTTCTTAAAGGCCCATAGCCTATAAATACTAACTTACTAACCTACCGACATACCAACACACCAGGAGTCTGAGATCAGACTTGGGCCCTGTCAGGACACCCGATAAGTGACTACTAACAACAAAACCACCACTTGTGAATGGGATAATTATTTATATATATATAGATCTATAATCCATGTCGGTATCTTCACCAGCACCGACCAAAAAAGGCCGCACTCAAAACACAGTAGTTGGCACCAGACAACACATTCCTCGGGGCAACACGGAAAAACAATGACGGAGAAGTCAGTACCACATGTATGTATGTATGTATGTATATAATATGTCTGTATATATGTATAACCTAATTCTATCCCCGTCACAAATCCGTCAGGACGGAAGAACGCCCAACTCCAGAAGGCACACGCACACACACACAGACACACACGCGCGCGCGCACAGAGAGAGCTTCCAGTGAGGACTGACGACGACGGTGGTAGGCTAGTATGACGAGGCAATGGCAGGAACCAGACAGTCCACACCTCTCCGCTCTCTCACACTCAGACCCGTTGACGCGCTCCGCAGAACAACAGACCAATACCACCACCAGCACCACCACCAACACAATCCGTTACTATCACCACCACCATCACCACCAACATTACCACCACCACCACTACCACCACCAACACTCGCACCACCACCACTACTACCACCAACACTGGCACCACCACCATCACCACCAACATTATCACCACCACCACTACCACCACCACCACTACCACCAACACAATCCGTTACTATCACCACCACCATCACCACCACTACCACCACCACCACTACCACCACTAACACTGGCACACCACCATCACCCTCAACATTATCACCACCACCACTACTACCACCACCACTACCACCAACATCACACTACCACCACCAACGAAAACAACAACACCACTACCACCACCACCACTACCACCAACATCACACCACCACCATCAACACTACCATCACCACCACCACCATGACGACACAAACATGAAACTCATCTGAGAGGATTCGAACCCATTCCGCTCACTTGACAGTCAGACCGGTTCTAACAGGGACCTTGGATGTATCTACGACAGTATCTGTTCTCAGAGAAAGAAGTAGTCTCACAGATGTACACGCACACGAGGGTGCCAAAACAAGTTGCTATTTGTACCAAGTTGTCCTTTTATTTTACCTTCTTTTTTCCCTTTTTATTGGGTGGGGGGATTTGGGGGGAGAGGGAAGGGCATGTCGTGAACCCTCACAAGCGCCCCAGGATTGGGACTTCACACTAAGGTAGTTTTGAGAAGATACAATATCCCACCCAGCCAGGCCATCAAACTTGCTGGAGACAGGAAGCTCTTTTTCCCCTCGACGCCCTAGAGGTAGAAGAGGACGGAGAAAGTCGAGTCAGTAAGTACTAAGGTAGTTCAATAGAGCGAGACTTAACCCCCCGGGTGATAAACTGAAAGGAGATTGTAAATACAAGGCAGCTGTGCCTTCTCAATGCTAGACCGGGAAGCCAGACCTAAGACTGTCTACGTGAGTGCCAAAAGGGGGGTGGGGGGGGAGGAGATAAGAGGGTACCTGTAACATTTTAGAGGCTGAATATTAATTGATTTGATTTTCCTTTCGGGAAGTCTTTGCTGAGAAATGCTGGGCCGGTGTGGGTTGTTCCAAGTTATTCTTTTATGGTTTTTCTTTTCAATTATTACGATAGGTGTTGGGTTTTTTATCTTCGTAGCTTTTGGAAATAGATCTATGACTGCACACCTATGCTGAGACGGCAAAACGTGTGTTCAGGCGTCCCCTTTTCTGACGTCGAATTCAGGGACGCTTGTGTGTGTGTGTGTGTGTGTGTGTGTGTGTGTGTGTGTGTGTGTGTGTGT